TCTTATTTGGGCTGGCCTGAGCAATGCAGTTTTGCTACTTGGACTAATGTGTGAGCTTTATTGACATGTGGTAGAAAAGAAAGCATCTTGTTGAGGGCAGCAATACATTTTTCCTCTAAATTTTTTTTTTTTCTTGCGATACGTGGGCCTCTCACTGTTGTGGCCTCTCCCGTTGCGGAGCACAGGCTCCGGACATGCAGGCTCAGCGGCCATGGCTCACGGGCCCAGCCGCCCCGCGGCACGTGGGATCTTCCCGGACCGGGGCACGAACCTGTGTCCCCTGCAACGGCAGGCGGACTCTCAACCACTGCGCCACCAGGGAAGCCCTTTCCTCTAAATTTTAAAAGGATGGAGAGGAAGGTTTCCCACTGAGTTCCCCTGGCTACCTCTCGTTCTTTTCCTGTCTGTCTTTGAACAAGAAACAAGACGCTTTTAGTTTTGATCTGGAAACTGTTTTCTTTTGTTCCTACTTCCTATTAGAGACTTTGAGGGATAGAGGCAAGTGGTACAAGAGATTGTCTTGGACTCCTGAAGTAGAGGAATCATCTTCTCCCACTCCTTAGAACTGTAAAGCTCTTGGTGACCTGACTCATTCCCTATTGTCATGCTGAGACTGCACTGACTCTAAAAAATTTTTTCCTTCTAGCTCATTGATCCCAATTCCCTTCACAGATGTTAGACAGAAATGAGAACAGCCTGCCTGGGGAGGGGGGTTTCTGTCAGCATTTGTCAACTACCAGGGAATAGCTGCCCTGGAGACAGGTTGAAACCAGGCCTCTGCAAACATGAATCAGCAGCCAGGTTTTGTATCCAGCCCCACGAAGGGACCCCAGAACCTGATAATCCTCCTCCAGTATAATGGAATTTGGTGGTGTAGCTTCATAAGGTGTCACTTTTGTCAGAGAGGGGGAGGCATTTTTGGCAGGTCCCCGGCTTTGTCCTTAACATCTGACAGGGAGCTTCTGGGCACCTGACTAGCGTTAAGGAAGGTTTTACTGGAGATATATTTGGAGTGCCTTAAAATAAAGACCAGAGCTTCCTTTACTGTCTCGGATCTTCGTTCTTGTCAGTGCTGATGAACTTTGGGTTTATGGAGCCAGCCCCCATTGAAATCTGGGAGGAGACTCACAGATCACCCAGTCACTGGGTTGGAAAGACTGATGGCCGAAACCATAAATGGTTTGGGAGTAGCCAGAGCTATAGCCATCTGTCAGCATTGGGGAACTTGTTGCCCAGTATTCTCTTGTCTCTAGAGCTAATTGTGAGGAGTAGTTCCTGTCCGTGAGGTACTTTCAGAGCTGTTAAACTGTGGCCAGAGAAAGGAATGGAAACTACACCTCTGGGTGGTTTTCCAAATTGGCCAGATTCTCATTCCTCTAGGGTCCTTTCATTCCAGGAATGTGTGAAATAGGAACATTGGATCAGATGACCTCTCAGAACCTGTAAATCAGTGATCCTACCCGTCCTGCATCCTCTGTGTCATCTCCTTGTCATCTCCTTCCTTCTCACCCCAACATTAGAGTGTGATAAGTAAGCAAGTGCTCATCAGCAATTCTGGAGGCTACTGATCTTCACGTGGCATTTTCTGGCTTCCTGCCACAAAGCAGGATTTAGCCTAATACCCAAACACTGGAGGAGATGGGCTCTTGGGAGCTGCCCTTTCAACACTGTTTAAGGACTTGGGCAGGGTGGGGAGCTGCCAGAGTCAGAGGACAAATCGATACCCCATGACTCCTATAGCCATGGAGGTTGTGAATATCTGTGCAACAAGGTCTAGGGGTCTCAGCCTTTAATTACTTCTCTCCAGTTGCTCTGACCTTGTCTCACCTAAGCTGGGTCACCCATCATACTGGCTTCTTGATGGTTTTGTCCCCAGAGCAAATTCCTGTACTTAGAAGCAAATTGATAGTATTTGCTTGTTAATCCCTCTGCAGCAACAGACTATAAAAGGTAAATTTGTGATGTGTGAGAGGCTTTGTTTGCTTCTTTCCTGGTCTGGAACATTTCTAGAAAAGAGTCCTTATTCTTGTGAGACCGCGGTCAAAACACTCAGCGCAACCTCAAAGCATTTGATTTACTAACTGCATTGTCTCCCTTCTTGCAAGACCACTTTCTCTGGCCCTTCTGGCCCATTGCCTGCAATAATGAATCATTATGATTTTAGGGGAGACTCTTGTGAATCCCATTAGAACTGCCACAGGCGAAAAATAAGGCTCCCCTCATCCAACCCACTGAAATTAACACACATCCCTTCTGAACTCTGGGTGTATCCCCAACTTATATTATCTGACCTTTGGGAGAAGAAAAATTTAACAGGTTAAGTGATCCCAGCCACAGTTGTCTGATCACAGCCACTTTGTCCTTTTGATTTGTATATCAAGTCATATTTAACCATATAGCCAATAGGTTGGACAGAAGCCATTGATTATCTTCTGGAAAAGTGAAAACCTCTGTGAGAAAGGATGAAGGCCCCACACCCATCCCCTGATCTGAAGGAAAAGAGTTGATTAGGTGCAAAGGGGAAAAGACTGGCATTGCCATCTCTGTGGACAGTCAGCCAGGAGTGAGGCCGGTGGAGAGGAGTAGCCATGAATTCATTCCAGGCTCCTGCCAGGTATGTACGTGTAAGGAAGGGATTATCCAAAGGTCAGCAAGCATGTTCTGGATGACTAGTTTAGAAATTCATAAACTTCATTGGGCTCTTTTTCAGTAGTCTCCTCAGACCAAAGATTTAAGGAGCCCTGGTTAATTCTTAAATTTGGAGTTGAGTCAGATGGGGAGGACATAGGAGGTAGGAGGTTCTTAAGGCAGCAGCAGCCTTGGGGCAGTCTGTCTTATGCCTCAAACCAGAGCCAGTTCCATATTTGTAACAGACCCATTCGACCTCAGGACCATAACAGGGCTGTTCCAGCAGTGTGCTATAAGCTACCCAGGCACATTTCTCAGCACCACAAAGCCGGGGAATTTTTATAACAGGATTCTCTGTGTGTGTGTCATTACATCGAGCACATGTGCTGCTGTCTTCTCTAGTCCAGAGGCTGTCCTGGTAAAGGCCTTTCAGATAGCTACCCAAAGCACATGAACAAGTTCCCAAATGCAGGACTTCTTATCACTTGATTTCTGTAAATGGCGTGGACCCTTAGCTCAGTATTTACCTTTTTGGGGGAGCAGGGTCTCTCATCAGGATAATCAGAAAAGTAATTATTATTATACTGCCCTAAATTCATTTTTTAATATTACTTTCTAAATCACGCTCTCATTTGTTCTCTCATTTTTTTCCCTTCCATCAACCCTTAGAGACAGGTAAAGACAGATGAAGTTCATCCTTATTTTATAAAAACCTGAAGAGGCTAAAAGAGAAAACATTGTATTGACTAAAACTCCAGTTTATAGATTCTCAGCCTCACGTCCTTTTCATAGGGCCTGATGACGTGTTTTTCTTGTTTGTTTGTTTTTTAAGCCCCAGATGCAGGTTCATGGTAATAATAACAAGGGTTACCATTTATGAGCTTGCACCACATCAGGCATTTTATATACATCATTTCTTTTAATCTCCCCTATTATTTGAGCGTTGGTGCTGTCTCTCTTCTTTTTTTTTTTTTTTTTTTTTTTTTTTTTGTGCGGTATGCAGGCCTCTCCCTGTTGTGGCCTCTCCCTCTGCGGAGCACAGGCTCCGGACGCGCAGGCTCAGCGGCCATGGCTCACTGGCCCAGCCGCTTCACGGCATGCGGGATCTTCCCGGACCGGGGCACAAACCTGTGTCCCCTGCATCAGCAGGCGGACTCTCAACCACTGCACCACCAGGGAAGCCCAGTGCTGTCTCTTTTTAAACTGAGATCCAGAGACGTTGTTACGCAGTGACGCCAGGACTCAAACCCAGATCTTTCTAACTCTTAAATTATGCCCTTCATTCTTCCACTGCCCTGCCCCTGTCTCTGACTAAAATCGATTCTGGAACATTGTGCAGATCAGTAGCCAGATATCACCTTCAGCCCAACCTGAGACAAGCTAAGCTGCCCCCTGAGAAAATAGTAGCTTTGGAAAGATGTAGACTAGTGAAAGGAGACTCCCTTTGAAAAATGGAGGGCTTCCCTGGTGGCGCAGTGGTTGAGAGTCCGCTTGCCGATGCAGGGGACATGGGTTCTTGCCCCGGTCCGGGAAGATCCCACATGCCGCGGAGCGGCTGGGCCCGTGAGCCATAGCCGCTGAGCCTGCGCGTCTGGAGCCTGTGCTCCGCAACGGGAGAGGCCAAAACAGTGAAAGGCCTGCATACCGAAAAAAAAAAAAAAAGAAAGAAAGAAAAATGGAACTGATCTGTTTAATGGTGATTTATATAAGCTAGAAAGAAATCGTATACGTGTGTGTTCAAGATTCCCATCTGCCCTGCTTCCTACATCTTATTGCACCTTTTAGGTTTCCTTAACAATAGCAGTTTTAACATTGCTTTTAATTAGATGAATTAAGAATGTTCTTTGATGTTATCACCCCCTCCCGCCCCCCTATCACCTTCAGTTCCCCATTGCAGTGAAGAGTGCTGTGATTTCCATGGTAACAGGACTACCAGTGGAGCTTGGCTCTCACTGGTTGGTCTGGTCAGAGGAAAGTTTGGGGCAGTCCTTCCTGGTGTGTTAGGCTCTGCATGGGGCTTTCCAGGGGGTTACCTTAAAAGTGATGAAGTGAGAAAGTTAAAGGCTGTGAGGAGAGCATAGTGAAGCTTCATGCAGAAGGGTCCAAGTATGCCCCTGGTATTTCCTGACAGTCCTTAGCCCTCACCTGAAGTAAGAGGGTCCCCCCCCGCCCCCCGTGCTTCCCCAAGTTCTCAGATTCTCAGATATATGTTAAGAGTCATCCCATTCCCAGTCCAACCATCTCTTTTCTTCCCTGTGGTTAACTTGCTTTAGGCTATAGGAGGGACTTTGTTCCCCTTGGATTTTGTTATTCTTGGTAACAGACTGTTTCTCCTCCCATTCTCTTTTCTTCCCTCTTTTTTCCTCACCCAGAGAGTTTTCAACGTCCTTTATCCCATGCCTGCTGACCAGCGGAGACATGTCAGCATCAATTCTGCCCGGTGGCTGCCTGAGCCAGGGCTCGGCCTGGCCTATGGTACCAACAAAGGAGACCTGGTGATCTGCCGACCAGAGTGAGTGGCTCAAGGGGCTGGCGGGGTGGGGATTCAGGGGGTCATTCAGGCTGAGGACTGGAGTCATCAGCATTCACCTGTGGATCTGGCCAGTGAGGTGGGGTCTTTTTTTTTTTTGAATTTTTGAATTTTATTTATTTTTTTATACAGCAGGTTCTTATTAGTTATCCATTTTGTACATATTAGTGTATATATGTCAGTCCCAATATCCCAATTCATCACACCACCACCACCACCACCACCACCCCCGCTGTGGTGGGGTCTTCTAGATGGGAAATTCGAATCCTGCTAGAGCCTGACTCGTTCTCGGCGTCACTCCTTAAAGTGTTCTTTTCACCTAGGGGATGGTAAGGTTAGCTCTCCATTCCAGAAATCTTCAAAAGACTGGTATAGTTATTAGGTGTTTTTAAATCTAAGGCAGTATTTTTTTTTCTTTGTTTTCCCTCGTTCTCTGGTTTCCTAGTGATAGTAAAGTTTCCCTGCAGGCAAAAGCATAGATATCAAAGATTCTTTTCTAAACCCTTTTTGAAAAATTCAACAGGTGGTCTCAGGTTTGTGTAAATGCCATAGACATTAACTTAAGAAACAAAATTGGAAATAGAATATTGTTAAAGCCCTAATTTGTCAAGCTACGGATCTCTGACAGCCTGGCTCTGTCTGTGTCCTGTCTGTTTTCCTTTCTGCTTGGGGTTCTGGCTCATAATAGTGAAGGCAGATTGAAAAGCTTAGTTTAGAATAAAAATGATAATTAACTGGTCTTGATTGAAGTAGGGGGTAGGAGGCGACAGGGAACCAAAGTATCTCTGTCTTAAGTCCTGATGACACCCGCTTCTCCCCTTCCTCTGGCTTTTTGGAGGAGAGAGGTCTGTTCAGGCATCCTTTCACTCAAGACCCTGGGAATCAGCCAGGTCTGTCATCAATTTCCAGACCCAGCCAGGTGGGGAGAGTGAAACTCTGTACTTCAATGCAGATCAGGCTGATTGCTGCGTGGGCTACTGCGGGGTTCCAGCCGACTAAATGCCACTTCTGCCTCCAGGCCGTCCTAATGTTGTCCTTTACTTGGTGCAGAGTCTTCTTCAAGGGTAGACTGCAGATCACAGAACACGCACAGTGTGGCTGGTCTGGTAGGGTCTCTGGCTGCTGGGAGTGTCCATGTTGCCTTTTGATAGGGCCCTTGGTGATTTTTCCTAAAGTGTGTATTTGGGTCAGTTCTTGTGGCCTGGTAGGTGACTGGTGATGAGCCCTTGTCAGCTGAGCTAGGTCGGTGGCCCAGGAGAAAGAAAACCTGGTTCTGATGACAGCTCTTTTATTCCGCCTAGAATTTTCGGAGCCCCTTCCAAAGGGAAGCTGCTGTCTCAGCCTGACCTAGTCAAGCTGCTCTTAGAGCTGGGAGACTGCTTGATTCTGCCAGCTACACTCTCTTCAGACTCAGTGTCCACAGAGCCCCTTTCACTAGCTCCTGGTGGCTCTCCAGAACACAGCCTGCCTCTTTCACGACTGTGCCACTGTTAACCCAGGTTGCTTTATCTGTCCGTTTCTGCCCTCCCCGCAACCTGTCTATAGTCTCAGGATCAGTCTTCCCTGAATGATTTCTTTTTCCCCGAAGCACATTATCTTACCTCTTCCTCTTTTCTTAGAAATTCATAAGAGGACTCTAATAGGCATCTTTCCCAAAACTGGAAAAGAATTCTGGATTATAATTTCACTCTTACCAACAGTGTAGTTACAGGCCTTTCTTCACCTTTTTCTCCAAGACAGCCTTCCTTAGCATTGTTGTCTTGTCCCTGGCTCCAGCTACTAAACTTTGTCCCAACGACTCCCAGCCCCTTCTCTTGCAAAAGCGATCTGCTCTTACAGAGGCAGTGTCTCTGCTCCCAATTTGTCGTGGCCCCACAAGGCTTTTATGTCTACAACCCCAGCCTACATACTTGGTATGAGTCACAGACATCTCAGCCAGACATGAAGCTGGCTTTGGCCTCTCTTTTCTCCCCATATGTCATCTTCAGCATCTACCGTCTCAGCAAGCTGGAGCCATCTTGAGCTGCCTGGGGAGTTCTCTTACCCACCAGCAACTCAAGTCTCTTCCATGACAAGATAGCACTAATGGGCTTCCCTGGTGGCACAGTGGTTGAGAGTCCGCCTGCCGATGCAGGGGACACGGGTTCCTGCCCCGGTCCAGGAAGATCCCACATGCCGCGGAGTGGCTAGGCCCGTGAGCCATGGCTGCTGAGCCTGCGCGTCTGGAGCCTGTGCTCTGCAACGCGAGAGGCCACAACAGTGAGAAGCCCGCGTACCGCAAAAAAAAAAAAAAAAAAAAGTAAAAAGATAGCACTAATGTTTGACACAGCGAACAGCACCGCATCACAGACCAAGTTGTCTTGGACTCAGGGCTAGTTGAGCCTGCCTTTTTGGTGTTGCTGTTTCTTCTGATTTCTTGGGTCGTGTGGGTAAATGCCCCATACCTTAGGGCCAGTATTTAAGGGTACCATATAAAATTAAGATGGACATGACTTTGTCCCAAGCTGTCCAAAGCTTCTCCAGTTCTCAGTCACCTTCATTTCTGTACTTTAGGCAGGAAATACTGTGAACAATATTCAGGTAAGTAAATTTAGACTCACCCGAGGTCTCCCAGCAGATCAGTGACAAAATGAGCCTTCCCAATTTTCCGATCCAGAGCTCTTTCCTGTAGCTGATTCTTAACCTTTTTTCAATCAAAAACCCCTTTAGAATTCCGATGAAAGCAACATACTCTCTTCCACAGAAGAATATACCGCAAGAACATACAATTTTGTAACTCTTTTAAGACCTCAGGTGAAGAATGTAGCTCTAGATCATGTTGAGGCATTTAAGTGGGTCAGGTGATTGATGCAGTGGGAAATGAGAGAGGATAAGTGAGAACATGTACATCTTTTTTAACAGTCTCTGAGTGATCTCCGGCTTCGAACGAGGAGAACAAATAAATAGGGAAGTTGAAGCTCAGGGTTGTTGCCTGCTGCCTGGCCCCGCGTGACGCAGCTCCCTGGCACACCCATTCCCAAGGGCACATGAGCCAGCCAGCCAGCCAGCTGGGCCAAGATTACAGCCCTCCCTCCAAAACAGGTGGTTGTCTGCCTTTGTCTCAGGCACAGGCAGCTTTACCACATTTTGTGCTTTCAGTCCTGTTCTTGATTTTTCCTCCATTGTCTTAGCCTTGGCACTCTCTCCAAGCACAAAGACAGAGGTAACAAGCTCCTTGGGCATCTCTTGAAGGTATTAAAACCCCACTTGACAGTAGAAAAAAGCCTAAGGAAACACTCCATCTCTCCAGGCACAGAAATTCTTAGGACCGGTGAGGAGACGGACCACTGGCCCTTCCACCCATATACAGAGCCATTTCGGTGGCTGATAGCCTGTTGTCCACCCCCCCCCGCTCCCAGCAGTGAGATGCTCCTTTCTCCTTTGCTTTGCTCTCCGACCCGCCACCCCTCCAAAGCTGCTCCTGTGCCTCTGGCTGTCCGCCAGCCCAGCCAGCCCCCCCACCAGTAACCAGGGTGGGTATGAAGTGCCAGATTGATGTGAGGGGCTGCTTGCTCACTTCCGTCTCATAGATCAGCCCTACAAACAGCAGGGTGGGGAGGTGCTGGGAAGACCTCTGAGAGTCAGCTCAGAAGACAGAATTCAGAGACTCATGTCAGAAGAAAAGTAGGCTGGGGGGGAATTCCCTGGCGGTCCAGAGGTTAGGACTCGGTGCTTTCACTGCCGAGGAGGGCAGTTCTGTGTGAGAGCGTTTTCACCACCGAGGAAGCTAGGCTGGCTCTTAGCTGTGTTCAGGGAGCCCCAAGGGTCCCAGCTGTGAGAAGTCACTGAACCAAGCCCAGAAGCACAGCTCACAAAGGCTGTGGAAGGAAGCCAGGAAGGCTGACCCTGACTGGCCTTTTCATTCTTCTTCACCCCTCTGTGTGTTCGTCGAGCTTCCAGGAAGAACCTAGAGCAAACAGTGGCAACTCATTCATCCTCCCTAAGGTCCAAGGAGGAAGGAGAGGGTTGGGACTGTTCTTTAGCTTACAGATGGAAATAAGCAACACTGAATATTGAACACTTAGAGTTTCATTAGCCAGAGAGGGTATCTTCAACTCTATTCCTTGATACAGTGCCTGGAATTTCAACCAAATCCATGAGCTTGTCGTAGTCAAGCTGGTCTGACCATAGAAGGTAGAACAAATCATGGCTGGAATTGGACCTCTTGGTGGGGAGTAGAGAGGATTGGGGTCGGGGGGGAGAATGGAATAGCATGTTGATAGCCGCCATCACTCCTGTTCTGTTTGGCAGTTGATATCCTCAGTAAATGGCCAGAGTTCATAGCCTGGAGCTGATGGCGCATGCTGCCAGATGGAAAGTGTTTGAGGGACTCTGACCATCAGCGTCGTGCTGGCAGTCGCAGCTCAGAGAGTGTGCCTTCAGGTGGCCTTTTCTCTGAGATGGGAAGGAAGGTGCCTGGTCACTCAATACATGGTTTGGTATAGGTTTGGTGTGAGCAGTTTGTTGTCACTAACCAGCCCTGGGTAGCAGGAATTACAGACGAAGGATTTGGCGGGGACCCACGTGGTATTGCCACCTGTCAATAAATCTTGACAAGTTTGTAAATCAGAGACTCCCTGGCAGCTGGCTTCATGTGGTGCCTCATGCAGCCAAGATTTGCTCATCAAAAATTGCAGTGGTGGCTTTGTTTTCTGGGGGCCTCTGCTTTTGTTTCTGGTCCTTTGCCTCTTCCCTCACGTAAGGTCTTCTCTCACCTCTGCTCTCCAATGCCCTGTTGTTCTCAGACAACCCTCACAAAAATAGCTGAGTATCTGGTGACTCAGCTCCCTGTGGTCTCGAGGAGAAACAGCAGCTCGCTGAGATCCAGGAAACATGGCCCGCCACCTCCTATGCGGCTGTGGGAGTGGCGGAGATTCGGGTTGAGGTGTCCCGGCTCAGGGTGCTGACCTCCGTCCTGGCCCCCGGGCTGACCGCAGGTGTTGTTACCCTGAACTTTAATTCTTTATTGATGTTCTTTCAGAGGGCTCGTCTGAAGATCACACCAAACCTGCCCTCTAAGAGGAGCTGGGAGGGGTTTAGTCCAGAACAGGGAGAGGAAGAGTACTTTTGTTTGGCTGTGGCTCTTTCCCACAGGTAAAGCCTAATCCCCAGAATCCTAGTGCCTCTCTAGTGATGGATTTGGGGTCCCAGTGCCTAGGCCCGTTTCCTTTCACCTGAGGTAGCACAGCCTCCTGACATGCAGTCGCTCACCGTGCAGGCCCCATCAGGCCCCTGCCCTATCCAATCCTCACATTTAGGAAGGCATCACCTTACGTCACCCCCCCACAACTCATCTTTTCCTGGCTGATCCTCACAACCCACTGACTTTCATTTGTTTGCTCTTTATTGAAGAAGTTCTGTCGTTAAAGGAAGGTGACCTCAGCCTCTAGGTTAAAAAGCTGGCTTCCGTTGGAGCTTTTCTTAGTCAGCTCAAGACGGGGTGGCTTAATCACCAGAAATTTATTTTCTACCATCTGGAAGCTGGAAGTCTGAGATCAGGTGCTGGCATGGTTGAGTTCTGGTGAGGACTCCTTTCCTGGCTTGCAGACAGCCACCTTCTCACTGTGTCCTCACATGATGGAGAAAGAGAATAAGATCTCTCTCTCTCCTTATAAGGCCAGAGTCCTTTTGGGTTAGGGTCCCAGTCTTATGACTTCATTTAACCTTAATTACCTTCTAAAGACCCTATCTCCAGATACAGTCACTTTGGGGGTAGGGTTTCAACATGTGAATTTGGGGGGGATTCAGTCTATAGCAGAGCTCTTCAAGCACATGTGCATGCCCTGTCCCTCTTAGGAGCAGAGCTAGCTTTTTTGAGTATCTCCTACAATCTCTACATAGACGCTGGAGTTCTCATCAAAGGGCTCAAAGACACCTCTTTCCCAACTCTTATCCCTCTTCCTTCACCACCATCAGCAGCACCCCACCCTCAACATGTGATTGGTGCTAGGTAGCTGTCTTGCATTTTGGGACCCACCACTGGCAGCCAGGCTTGCTGCCTGAGGTGGCACATCAGTATAGAAAGATAAGAGGCCAACTGCTTCCCTTCTGGCAGTTTTGCCTGCGTGAGGTTGGAAGAAACTGCATGATACTCCATTGCAGGGAAAGAAGGAACCAGGAAAAGGTTGGCAGCCCAGAGAACTTGATGGATAGAAGCTCTTCTCTCTGCTGTCAGCAGTCCAGCCCATCGCTGCTGCAGTTTTTCTCCTCCCTCCCCCAGGAGAAGTTTGTGAGCCCTCCCGGGTCATCTTCAGCTCTCCCAGTTGCTTGTCCAGCTTCTACCTGGCAAAGGAGCCTCTAGGGCCGGAATAGAAAGAGATGTGGGCCTCTCTGGCTCAGCGGGAGCTTTTTCCTGCTTAGACTTCTGAGCTCCAGGCAAAGTAAAAATGTCAAGGTGCCCACATTTTCCTTTCTCCTGACCCCGTGGCTGTAGGGAAGACCCAATGGTGAGAGCCTGCACTCTCTGTTTCTGAGCACTAAGCACGCCCTTTAGACAGGGCTGTCCGTGGCACCTGGTGTCTCCAGGGCCATCTTAGCTTCTTTCTCATATGTCTGAAGTACACGCAGAACTCATTGCCTGACTGGCATGGCTATTTTTTAGCTCTTCCTTAGCCCCAAAGAGGAGGCAGTTAGGCTCTAGGGGATGGAAGAGGCTAAAGCCACCACTCCAGGCTTTGGGGCTGTTGGAGATTTGTCTGGTCTGCTCTACACTGAGCATCCTGATGCGGGAATATCTTTGGTCCTGGCCTCAGCCCAGCCCCAGGAGAGGAAGGAGGGAATTGCAAGGAGTTCTGGCCATTCCCTGTCTAATGCCTTCCACCTTTTCTCCTTCCCAACTGATTTTCAGGGCCTTAAACTCTGGTGTTGAGTACTACTGGGACCAGCTGAATGAGACTGTCTTCACTGTTCACTCCAGCAGCCGAAGCAGTGAGAGGCCTGGGTGAGTTTGTGAAAGAGGAGGCCCGCTCTCCCTTCTGCAACCAGTGGGCTCTGGAGCAGTGCCCTCAGACTGTGCTCCAGGGCTCTGTAGCTGCCGGTCCTCAACCAGAGCAGCTCCTCTTTGATCTGCTTCATGCATTGAGCTTTTGCACATGATTTTGTTCGAGAAGAGTGTTTTATGGCTAAGAAAGAGAACAGAACCTCTGCCCTCAGAGCCTTGATTTAAGACAGGCTAGGACACTGTCTAGCCCTCTCATTCTGGCATGGTATCTGGGTGAGCTGTGATGAGGAGAGAGGAGTGGACACTGGAGAGGGATGCCCTCCCGAGGAAATTGCTTGTGGGCAGTCTCCCACGTGACCCAGGCCTCAGGGTCCAAGCTGCCCAGAGCTGCAGCCCTGGGACAGACCCTCCCCAGGAGCCAGTGAGAGAGTAGGAACCTGGTACTGATCCTCTCATCACTTAATTCATTAACAAAGACTGGAACATTTTGAGAAAAAGTCCTGGGTCAATGATAAAGCCAAAGCAATCACTGCTTCCTAGAGGAAGTACAGGGCACAGCTGGAGGAGTAAATCCCCAGAAGCAGCTACAAATAGGAGTGGCTGGTGACTGTCTTGAAAGTCCTGGGCTCCCTCTGCTGCCAGCTTGAGCTGTCCTGAGGGTCACTGCCTAGGAAATGCCCAAGGAAGGGGGTGTATAGCTTGGGGCCTGGGCCTTACTCATTGGCAGCTGGCACTCGCTGCTTTTAAGGGTCTATTTTCAGAAGGCCCCGAAGGAGGATCCCAGAGCAGCCTCACAGGAGTCCTGGTGCTTTTCCTCCAAAGTGGGCATTCAGTGGAAGTTCCAAGAATTTAAACTGGAATCTTGTCAGCATATAGTTAGAAGGAAGGAAAAGCTAAAGAGAGAAAGGGCCCTCTTGGGCTGCTCACCCTTTTTCCCATGGAGCTCAGCTAGTGGCTTCCCGAATCTAAGGAAGTGTCTTTTAAGATCAGCCATCTCTACCTCCCCAGAAAAGCCCTCGTTGTTTGAGTGACTGGACCAGCTGGGTTTGCAAAACTGGACGGTTCTGCGCCTCCTTTCATTGTCCCGGGGTGTGGACTGATCTTGAGGAGAAAGGACACAGGCGAGTTCACCGCCATCGGGAGGCAGCCGCGGGAGCGGGCCTCTCAGCCTGCAGGCCCTGGTCCAGGCTGTGCCCTGGGGATTGGCATGGAGCACGCGGAGCTGTGTGCTGTCCCCAGCCCTGCCCGACTCCGCTCTGCCTTTCTCTCCGTAGCACCAGCAGGGCCACATGGAGGACAGACAGAGACATGGGCCTGATGAATGCAATTGGGCTGCAGCCCCGGAACCCCACCACCTCAGTGACATCTCAGGGCACCCAGACTCTGGCCCTTCAGCTGCAGAATGCCGAAACACAGACAGAGAGGGAGATCCAGGAGCCGGGGACAGCAGCTTCGGGTCCTGGTGAAGGTAGGAGCCATGTAACACTAGATGGGAAATGAGGCTGGGAGAGTGGCGTGGGGTGGGGGCTGGGACCATTCTCACCCCTCCCTGAGGCTCCCGGCCCCTCCACACAGACAGCTGGTGCAGGGCGAGCACCACTGCCGTAACGGTGAGTGCCCCTCACGTGGTGGTGCCTCCTCGGGCAGGAAGGTCATTCTCCTGATCTGGGTCACTGCTCCGGCAAGCCGAGCTGCTCTCACAGCTTTGCTCAGTCCCACCAAGGACCCTGACCTCCTTATCCTCTAAAACTTGGAGGACCCAGGGTGTTCTTCTGGAGAGAGAGCACAGAGAGTCATCTAGATAGAGAAGACTCCCTGCTGTGAGCTCTCGTTCCAGAGACATGCACCCCAGGCCTCGGGCTTCCAGGACCACCCCACAGGGTAGCTTGTCTCCTCCTGCCGCCAGCCTGCCAGAGTCGGGACTGCCACAGGTGAGGCCCTCACACACCCGTGCTTCATGGCCATTTTGACTGCAGCCTGCCGCGCAGTCAGGCCCTTTCTCTCACCTATTGCAGGTGTGGCTCAGCCAGCTCTGCCCTGGCTCTGCGCTGGCCTCACACTGCTAAGAACCAATTAGCACTTCTCAGCGGTAGCGCTCAAGCCCCTTTGGAGTGTGTTGGCAGCTGTGTTAAATAGGCTGTTCTCGCTCAGTCACTGTCCTTACCCCCTACCCCAGCCCCTGGCTGCTCCAGGCTCCAGACAAGGCAGCCTCCAAACAGACCCACATTTCCTAGGTCCGTGTTAAGCCATTTGCTGAAGAGAGACCATGAGAAGAGAGGACAGGTGTGCATCGGGCAAGGAGTAACTAATCTGCCTGTGCCACCTCCAGGGAACAGCTTTCCAAACTGCAGCCCCCCAGCAGGGCCCTGTCCTTGTTGCTGCCATGAACTGACACTTTTTACAGTTAAGTCCCTTCTTGGTCTGTGGCCCAGGCCACCTCTACATCTGTTGGGTGGAAACTCCTTGGTGTAGAGGTAGTGGCTGCAGCAGCCCAACACAGCTCAGAGCCTCACTGAAGAGGAGAGGGCTGGAGCTCCTCCAGCCAGCCCCAGGCGGAAGTCCTTGTCTGAGGCGGCCCCTCTGCCGCGATCTTGTGGCTGTTTACTGACTGTCTTCCATGCATCAGCCGCTGGGGTTGCAAAGACAGATAGGCCTTGGTCCTTTCCCAAGGAACTGGAAGTCTAGACAGGGAGGCAGGCACCCAGCAGGTAATTGCTTCACACGATAAGGACCTCGGGGCCACAGAGGAGGGGGGCCCAGCTCCCAACTGTGGGGCTCGGGGAAGACTTCTGGAGGAGGTGACCCTGAGCTGAGTCTTCAAGGATAAGTAGGAAAATGTCAGGCAAAGTGGGATGGGGGCAGGGGGCAGGCATTCCTGG